AGAGCAGGTTAAACAAAACCTTGATCTCTTAAAGTTACAGTATAAATTTTTAAATGATAGAAGTTTCAATATTGAAGAGAATGAATATATCTATATCTGTGATTTGATAATTACACATCGTATGCATGCTGCAAAAAAACCATACTGTACCCTACCAAAAAATGTGATTAAATCAATCAATAAAACCTAGGGAATGGCCATGCTGCACTCCCTTCTGCTCCATTCTCTTCCCAGGATCTTGAGTACACACGCACATGCGTCTGGTGTGAGGTTTAAGCCACCAGGTCTGGGACTCAAACTGTAGTATACTCTGTTCTACTCCATAACAATGTGAAAATGAGACTAGTAGGGGTAAAAACGTAAAGATACATTTTGCCAATGTTGACTCAGGAATAGGTAGAAAGTTAGATTATCCCATCAATATAGAAGAAATAGAAAAAAATGTATTACAAATGCAATTTCCCAAAAGATATGAGACTCAGCTAATTTTAGAGACAAATTTAAGTAACAGATGGATCCTAGGCATTTTATTTATTTATTTTTCCTAAAGATGTTTGCCATAGGGTGCATGGACTCACCAGAGAGAGAAAGAGAGACAGTGAGAGAGAAAGTGAGAAATCACTCTCCAGGGTGGATAGCCATGCCACTATCCCTTCCCCTCCATTCTCCTGGGATTTTGGGCATCCATGCACATGTGCCCGGCATGAGTTTCAAGCCTCTGGGTCCGGGGCTTGAATGTTGCATGTGCAAGTCCAGTGTCTTAACCACTACATCCCCTATGAGACCCTTCTAGGCATTTTAAATCATTTTATAACACAAAATGTTTCTATTACTTGTGAGATATGCCTTAAAGCAGGCACTTTATTTTTCCTTCTTTAGTTTGTTATGGGGGGCAGGCAGGGACTTCTGCTGCTCCAGCGTACACCCTGGCAGTCAGAACTGCTAGAGAGGAAGTGGAGATGCCTTCCCTAGCTTTGTGTTTCTTTACCCCTCTAAAGAGAATAGTCTTCACAACGGGATGTGTTCAACCAACAGAAGAGGACGTTGCGAGTGGTTTAAAAGGAGCTAAGACTCTAGTTTTAAAAATTATGTCCCAAGGTAAGCAAAAGCACTTCTAGATCAATCTAGTAGTTTGGAACACTGTGAGCAGTTTTAAGAAGATGACCGAATTCTTCAAATTTGGGAAGAATGCCCCTTCAGAGAGGGACGAAATTGACTCTCTGTAACTCTAGGGGAGCCGTTCTAGATGAACTGCTGGAATACACGAGGAAGAGATTTCAACTCACGTTCACAAATCGGTGGCTCTGTTTCCCAAACGACGGTGTTGCCCAAGAGGATACATTCAGTAGACGAGTGACCGATCAGTCGGTGTCTAAAGGCAGAAAATAAGGAAAAATATTAGCTGTGCTCATCCTGGCAACTTCTTAACAACAGTGTGTATGGCACTTCTGAAAGACTACCATTCGGGAAAAGTCTAGGGACTAGCCTGAATTCCCCCTGTTGTAGTCAGCTTTCCTTGTTTCTCTTTCCTATTCTCTCCATATGGAAAGGGAAACTTCTTCTCTAACTCCTCAGTGTCCAATATGCTTCTTAATTTCTTGGCCATGCAGTATACCACACACCAAAATAAAGCAATCCTTTTTAGGATCTGTTTTTTCCCTCGTATTACTATTGCTGACCCCTCCTTTTTTGTTTTTGTTTTTTTCATCCAGCACTACTGCATTACTTCCTTGAGGGTTATTTCTTGTAAATACCATAGAATTTGATTTTTTTTAATTCTATTTAGAAGCCTTTGTCTTTCTGGGCCAGCAGGTGGCATGGCAGTTGAGGCACTGGATTCCCACATTGGCAGATTGCAGTTTAAGTCCCGGTTTGCTTCCTCACTTTCCCTTTCTCTCTCTCTGTCTCTGTCTCTCTGGTCAAATTAAAAAAAAAAAAAGTAACAACAAATGAAACTAAATAAAGAAAAATATATTTTTGGGGGGGACTAGCAGTTGGTGTAATGGCTATGTCACTGGACTTCCATGTAGTTGACTGCGCTTTGAGTCCCAGACCTGGTGGCTTAAAATTCACGCCGGGCACATGTGCGTGCGTGCCCAAAATCCCAAGAGGAGAATGGAGGAGAAGGGATTGCGGTGTGGCCATCCCCCCTCCCCGGGGAGTGATTTCTTGCTTTCTGTCTCTCTGTCTCTGTCTCTCTGGTCAAATTAAAAAAAAAAAATCCCAAGAAATATTTTTTTAAAAAAAGCCTTTGTCTTTCAATATGAAGATTAAACCAATTTGACTGAAATAAGTATTATGTTTGATTTCACATTTGTCATCATTCTTTTGACTATCATTTCACTTATTTCACAGTGCTGGATGATGAGGACAAAGCAATGTAATATATAAAATTATAAAACTGATCTGCCCCAAACACGAAAGGGTTTATATTTGGTAGAAGTCATAGGTACTTTCATTCCATTTGCTATGTGAACAAGAAAAGCTTAGTGTTTTTAGATCTAATAATGTTAGATTTTTAGATCTAAAAATAGGAAGTTAAACATCCTATTTTTCCCCTTGGGAATTTCATTTTACACATGTGCATGATGTATTTATACACACACAAAACATATATATTTAAACCTATTTCCTCAATTTCAGTGTAAAATACATATTATCTAACCATCTCCTATGTAAGTCTAGCCTTTTTCTTGTTTTCTTCCATTTTCTAGTTTTATTGACACAGTCTTTAACTTTGAGCTTATTATTAAATTATGATTACATTGCAAAGTTCAACTTTTCAAGAATTGGTTCTCGTGTTCAGTTTTACAACTTTCTTAGAAATAATTGACTAATTTTTTTTCTACTGGTTTTCTATCTCACTGATATCTCTTTTGAAATTCATCATTCTCCTTTTTTAAAATTTACTTATGAATTTCTTGGGTTTATTTTTAGGAGCAAAATCATACTTCATTGTTATCATTTTGGCATCTTTCCTTATTTTTTCTGCATAGCTTTTAGATAAGAAGACTAACTTGGCTCACTACAAACACTATCTTCGATGAGTTAGTGTTGTGTAGAATCAATATGGTTCGAATATATAATACTTTCTTTTGTAGACATTATATTTACAGTTTTTCACTTTTATATTTATGAAACTAATTTTAATCCTGAAATACAGAAGTTTCCCTCATGATGTTAGATGTGGGCTGATTTTTTTACCTTTCTGGATTGTTTTGTTACATGTATTTTGAATCCTAGTATTGTCTTACACATGTCTTCTCTTTTCTCTTTATTCTTTTTCTTTCTAGGTGAATTTGATTGAGTCTTCTTTACTCATTGCTTTAATTTTCTACAATATTCAATGTGTGTGTGTGTTTTAGCTTAACAACTCATTTATTTGCAAATTTTCTTCAGTTTTTTTGCGTAGTTTTACCAAAGGAATTATACAACTACATCTTGTTAAAAATATAAACAGATTTCTTTTTTGCAAGTTTCCCCTGTTTCTTGGCAATAACTCTATTTTATAGGAGGACATTTTTTCTAATTTTTCCATATTGGTCTATTTTATTTTTATTTATTTTCTGTTTCTTATAAGCTCAATGGTTTCCTGCTGTGTCCATACAAAGGTTCACTTTTATTCAGCAATGCAAGGTGAAAAGGGGATGGTTTGAGAATTTATAGATTGTACTTAAAAATGTTCAAATGGAAAGAGAAAAGAAGAGTTTAGATCTATTCTTCTTTGACCTTGTCAGATTGTAGCCCTCTGGTCTGGGAGGCCTAGGGCAAAAGGGACTAGAGATCACAGTGCTTGTTAGTGTTCATTGTGCAGCAACAGGAAGCCCTAACCTCACACTGGCTTAGAGCAAGGCTGGGGCGGTGCTGCCAGGGTGCTGAACAAGGCTAGCACCAGTGGTCAGACCCTGCTCTGTGAGTGGGCCATGCTTGACATGCTCAAAAGGGGCTCTGTTGTGGGTTTCACTGTGTCCCCAATTAAAGAATGTCAATGCCCTACATCTCGGTCCTTGTGAATATGACCTCATCTGGAAATAGGGTCTTTGCAAGTGGTTGTTAAGGTGGGCCCCAATCCAGTATGACTGGTGTCCTTGTATCAGGAGAACTTTGGACATGGACACGCACGAAGAGAGGAACACCATGGGAAGACACAGATGGAGAGAAGACAGCACGTGAAGATGGAGCCAGAAAATGGAATTATGCACCACGTGTTAAAGAAGTCCCGGGCACTAGGAGCTGGAAGAGGCTGGGAAGGATCCTTCCCAAGAGGCTTTGGAGGAAGCATGGTGCCGCTAAAACCTTGATTTTAGACTTCTAGCATCTATGACAGAATTTCAAACTTTTCGGTTAGGTTAAGTCAACCATTTGGTGGTACTTCGTTATAGCGGCCCTGTCAAATATAATGAGAATGCTGATGCTGTTAAGATTTATCCTCTCACTCAACCGCCCCATGGCCTTCCCTTCTTTTCAGCAATGTGTCATCCGGGTTAGGGCCATTCACATGCTTTGACGATACCCTTTCTCCATTTCCTTCCTTTTTTACCTAGCAACTTTCACATTTTTCTCATAGGCAATGCCCTGGTTTCCAGCAAGGACACAGACTTTCTCCCTAAGTTAGTTGTATTTTTATTTCAACCACGAGTTCAGGCTAAATCCTTTGAGACCAGGTGTAATAGCCTAGTTGTCCTCTCTGAGTTGCAGCTAGAAGGTGGTATCATTATTCCAGAACTCTCCAACCAAGAGATGTTGCCGCCAGCTCACCCTATATTACAAGAATACTTAATTCTGGATCCAAGCTGGACATCTGTGTCTATATGCACCATGCCATTCACAGGATCTGGAGGAGTTTTACATGATCTACCTATGGGAAAGAAACAGAATTTTGGAACGAGGTAGAATAATCTAAACTGTTTTTTAGTACATAAAGTCCTAACCTGTCTGTAGCTTCCTGAAGAGCATATGCAATTTGAATGGTTCCACAGATTTGACCACCTTAAAGATATTCACCTACTTGCCTAGGATCAGCCATCAATAAACATATGTCTGAAAAAATTTCCATCCAAATGTCTTAACTTTGCATCCCTTATCAAAATGAAAAGGTCACGCATGGCCTTATTTACTGCCAATATAAAGCCATGTGCCACAGAATGGTTTTGTTGATGACAGACTGCATATAGCATGGTGATCTTATTAAGATTATGATAGGGGAGGCTGGCAGGTGGTGGAATGGTTAAGGGCACTGGACTCCCACATGACTGACTACAGTAATGGACCTGCCAGCTGGCTTTCTCACTTTCCCTCTCTCTCTCACTCTGTCCCTGTCTGGTCAGATTAAAATAAAGGAATAAATAAAGTTAAATAAAATAATTCTTTCAAAAAGAAAAGAAGTTGTGCTAGGCTACACCACACAGCCTAGGTGTGTAGCAGGCTGTACCATCCAGGTTTCTAGGAAGATACTCTCTGATGGTCTAACGATGACAAAATCACTGAAGGAAGCATTTCTCAGAATGCGTCCCTGTCATTAAGTGACGCATGACTGTACTTGGAAGTTCTCAGAAGACCTCTTCCAATAGAATTATTCAAACCCAATTAATGTCTCCTTTTATTCCCATAGGGAACAGAGATTTTTCTCTGCAAATATTCCTTGAAGTATGCTCATGAAATGAGTATTTCAATCAATTTTCAGGTAAGACCTACAAGACTAATTCCTATATCCATCCACCTATCTGAAAATGTTTGAAAATTGGTTATTTACATCCAAAATTTGAAAAGCAAAATTATATCCTACAGATGTGTTGACAGACATTGAAAGACTCCAATGTGGGATGACTCACGTTTGCAGACATTTGTAGGACTTGACCAGGACAGGGTTTTTAGACACATGATAGAAAACGACTTCCCATAGTATTCAGAGCCGCATTCATACTTTAAAGATGTCCCAATGGGAAAGTCAGATTCATTGATTGGAGTCTTCAGCTTAGCAAATTGAAAAGGATCTGGGACTTTACAGTGACCTAGAAACCCAGAAGTCAGAAAAAACTGAGTTAACAAGGAGATTCTTTCTTCATTTCTCCCTTATTAGATTTGATGCCAGAAGAAAAGAAACTTTGAGTTATGTAAAATAATTTCCTTTTAATATTGAGAGTTGAAATTCCATTAGCACGCACCCATCAGAAAACACACTACCTAGAAGGCTAGTCTGTTCCCTGGCCTTTCTGCTAGTATAATGTGATGTAAAGATAGCTCCAATTTAATTATTCACAGTTTTAGGGAGCAAGAAAGAGGGGACCCTCCTCAGATTCCACATTTCCTGTCCAGGTGGAGAACTCAATGTTTCTTGGCATTGGGAAGCAGCCACCAGTTTTCTGATTCCTAAGCCAGTCATTTCCACAATAACAAAACAAATAGAATCTCCCTAAAACAAAAAGCAATAACAAAAACCTACAGCCCTTACTGTAAGAAAACTTTGCTCCAAGTACATCTGGAATCAAAGTCTGACATTAACTGCACACCTTGTGGCCCATGGAGGCCACTCACCTGCACGTCCACAGTGAGGGGCAGGGCCACTCCAGATCCCGTTCCTCTGCTGGTCACTTGTGCAGTGGATGGTGCTCTCCCCAATGAGATCTAAGGTCATCCCCGTGTCCGGGTGGGGGTCACATGTGTAAGTTACTGCTTTTCCATAGGGAAAGCCATCCAAAGGGTTTCCTGGATAGGGAAACACATCCAGAGGGTTTCCTGTGTGTCTCCCATTAAGGATGGTTGGAGGACTTGGACAAAAGATTTCTAGAAAGAAGGTGAGAAGTCCTTTTCATGGAGGAGTTTCCACTAGAGAGATTCTGCAGTCCCAGGGCACTGTGATGAGTGTTGCTTACAAAAGTGTTAAGATGACGGGAACCAGCAGTTAGCGTAATGGCTGTCGCTGGCCTCCCACGTAGTCGACCGCGGTTCGCGTCCCAGACCCGGTGGCTTAAAACTCACGCTGGGCACGTGTGCGTGCGTGCCCAAGATCCCGAGAGGAGAATGAAGGAGAAGGGATTGCGGCGTGACCATCCTCCCTGGGGGGTGATTTCTCGCTTTCTGTCTCTATGTCTCTCTCTGTCTGTCTGGCGAGCGCACGCGCCCTACAGTGAAAATCTCTCCAAAAAAAAAAAAAAAAAAAACGTGTTAAGATGCCATATACATTGGCCTTTGATGAGATGGACAAAATAAAATCAGATCTTACTCAGAGTTTACTACAAAAGTAAAAAATAAAGTTGCTTGTCTTGAATCCTCTGAGTAGTTAAGTTCTCTGGACAACAGAAACACCTTTAATTAAGTATCAAAACTGTATTTTATTTTTTAGGTTTAGTTTTTGCTATAAGGCTCACGTGTTTGTGGGGTAGGGAGAGAAGAAAATAAGAAATCACCCCTCAGGTGGAGAGGCCATGCTGCCATCCTTTTCCATTCTCTTCTTGGGATTTTGGACATGCATACACATGTGCTTGGGATGTTTTTCAAGCTGCCAGGTTTGGGACTCGAACTACACAGTTGGCCGTGTGGGATCCAGTCACTTTCCTTCCACCTGGAGGACCCCACTGAAACTTTTAAAAAAGAAAAATAAGGGACCAGCAAGTGGTGTGTGGTTAAGGTGCTGGACTACCACATGGCCTACTGTGGTGCGAGTCCTGGACCTGGCAGCTTGACACTCATGCCAGGTACATGTGTGTGCATGTCTAAAATCCCAGAAGGAGAATGGAGCAGAAGGGATTATGGTGGGACCATTGCCCCTGTGGGTGATTTCTCACTTTCTGTCTCTCTGGCGAGCACACAAGCCCTTGGAAGAAAGGAAGGAAGGAAGGAAGGAAGGAAGGGAGGGAAGAAAGAGAGAAAGAAAAAAGGAAGGAAGGGGAAAAAAGGAAGAAGAAAGGGAGGGAGGAAGGAAGGAAGGAAAGAAGGAAGGAAGAAAGGAAGGAAGGGAGGAAGGAAGGAAAAAGAAGTGTTTTGGAGGGTAACTCGGTTACTCAGCGTTAATTGAGTACTTAGTCTGCACCAGCCCCTCATCAGGACCCTGGGAATGTAGTGGAGAAGAGCACACACAAGGTGTTTATCCTCCAAATTGATTGTCTTAGTAATTATTTCTAAATGTATTCCAGGTGTACTGATCACCTTAAATAGATGAAGTCTTTACTTGACGACTTATTGATATTGATCCGTAATCTCAGTTATGATAGTAGCACTGTCACAATAAATTATAACATACACGAATCAGGGTAAAAACATACTAAATGGATTCAGCTATACTGTGCGACAGTAGGACAGCCTTTTGTTACACTGCTTTAAGAAGCACTGGGTTTTTTGGACAGCAGAGATCTATATATGTGCTGTGTTCTAATAAAGTTTTACTATAAAAAACATCATGGGTATCCGAGTAGATTTCTAGCAACATAAGCATTTTAGTAAAATTAGATTGATGAAATAAATAAATAAATAAATAACCTTACTATTCAGTCTTAAGGATCAAGAAATAAAATCCTATCTATGGGGAAAATATAAATGGACAGACTAGGAGAAATCAGTGGTGCATTTGAGACTTTTTGTTTTTGGTTTTTGCTATCGGGTGTGTATACTCGCTGGAGAGAGAGAAAGAGATAGGGAGAGAGGGAAAGTGAGAAATCACCCCCAGGCAGATGTCCACCCTGCAATTTCTTCTCCTCCACTCTCCTCTCAGGATTTTGGGCATGCATGCACATGAGCCTGGTGTGATTTTCAATCCTCTGGGTCCAGGACTCAGAGCATGCAGTTGGCCATTTGAGATCCTGAACCTTAACCCCCAAGTTACCTGCTGGCCCAAGAGACTCATTTTTTATTCGGCTTATTATTTCTGAATCTCCCAGCATAACTTATTTTTATACATACTTTGAGAGTTCAGAAAGTCTCAAGGGGCCTATCCTTCAGATGCTCACCACTTTCCCCTCACTCCTGCATTGCTCTGATTTAGTACCTCCTTAGCATTTAATTCACTTGTTCGAAAATTACCCATCTCCTCACCTGAGCGTAAATAAACATGAGGACAGGGAGTTAGCTCACCGTGTTCGCTGCCTTCAGTCTCGCACTCGATGAATGTCAGGCACATAGCATGTGATTAATAAACAATTGCTGGAATGAATGCTTGCTTAGTAATTGTGTATCACCCAGTAAACAAGACAATTATAAAATAACTACACCTTGATCGCAGAACAAAAAAGAAAAGAAAGAAGACAGGAAAAGAACAGAAAAAATAAAGAGAAGGAAGGCAGGAAGAGAGAAAGGAAGAAAAGGGAAATAAATTTGTCAAAGTTTCCCATTATCTGATCTTTCTTGACCTAATGGCCAACTATCATAGGATTTATCACATAGAACACAAAATTCAAAATGACAAAAGACTGATGAAATTATTCCAAAATCAGGCCAGGCACATATTGATTCACAATGAAATACTATTAAAATAGTTTTATAGGAGCTGGCTTTTTGGCCTGGTGGAAGAGAGAGCCAGATTCCCAGTCCATGTGGCTTCAAGGACCAGGTACATGTGTGTGCATGTTCAAGGTTCTGGCAGAATGGAGAGAGGAGAGGGGATTTTTAGCAAGACCACACCCCAAAGAAGGGGTACTTTCTCCCTCTCCCTCTCTCTGGTGAGCACATGCACCCTCTGGCAAAAAAACAAACAAACAAAAACATTTTTTAAAAGAAATATTTATTAAAATTTATTTATTTATTATTTTTTAATTTGACCAGAAAAGAGACATGCAGAGAGAGAGACAGAGACAGAGTGGGAAAGTGAGGAAACAAGTCGCCAGGAACTCAAACCATGGTCGGCCATGTGGGAGTCCACCATGCCACCTGCTGGTCCCATAACCATTTTTTTTTTTTTTTGGGGAGGTTTTTTTCGCTATAGGGCGTGTGCTCTCGCCAGACAGACAGAGAGAGACAGAGAGACAGAAAGCGAGAAATCACCCTCCAGGGGGGATGGTCACGCCGCAATCCCTTCTCCTCCATTCTCCTCTCGGGATCTTGGGCACGCACGCACACGCGCCCGGCGTGAGTTTAAGCCACCGGGTCTGGGACACGAACCGCAGTCGACTATGTGGGAGTCCAACGACATAGCCATTACGCTAACTGCTGGATCCCCCATAACCATTTTTTTAAATCAATAATTCAGACTAGAAAACAGAACCATCGTAAGGGAAGCCATGGACCAAAATACTAAACAAATTAAGGCGAGAGACTGGCCTTGAATGTTATTCCTTCTACTTACGCTCACACACAGGAACACTGCTATTCCAAAGGCTTTTCGCTCCATCCAAAACACAATGACTAGCTGAGCTGCCCTTTAGTTGAAACCTAAAGAAGAAAATGATAGTAAGTGAGTCATTTCTGCCAACTTGGTATTCAGTCTGCAATCTGAGGTCCAATCAAAGATCTTGAGGTTTTTGAGGCTCTAACAGGCTCCTAGCTCCCGCTGGTGACTGTTCCAGAAAACCTCAGCCTGCAGTAAAGGGGCAATTGGAAGCCCAGCACAGCGATTTGCTTGCATAATAAACCTGGCTTGAATTGGAGAAAGCAGGTTATGGTGTATTACCCTCTCCTCGATTCTGGATCCAGACTCAGGGTATCACTACTCATTCTATGGTACACATGCTAAATCTATTCTTTGTTATTGGCAACCCAGTGTTCTTTTTATTTTTAAATAATTTTAATTAAATTAAATTAATCAATTATTATTTTTTGAGAGGTTTTTGCTATAGGGTGCTTGTGCTCACCAGAAAGACAGAGAGAGACAGAGAGACAGAAAGTGAGGAATCCCCCCCCCCCCAGTGGGGATGGCCATGCCACAATCCCTTCTCCTTCGTTCTCTCGGGATCTTGGGCATGCACACACACATGCACAGCTTGAGTTCAAGCCATCGAGTCCAAGACTCGAACTGCAGTCGACTACATAAGAGTCCAGTGGCATAGCTATTATGCCAACTGCTGGCCCCTATTATTATTTTCAATTCACCACAGAGAGAGAGAGAGAGAGAGAGAGAGAGAGAGAGAATGAAAAAGCAAGCCGCCAGGTTGGGACTTGAACTGTGGTCAGCCATGTGGAAGTCCAGCACCTTAACCACCTTGCCACGGGCTGGCCCCAACCCAGTGTTCTTAAGATCAACATTCTCCCAACTCTGGCACTGGAATAGCAAGCAAAACAGCTCTCAGTTTGGGGAGAAGTGGAGAAAAACTGGTAAGAGAAGGGAGGTTATTATTTTGTTTCTGCATTTGTGATGGTTGTAAAGAAGACTCACAGCAGAATGATGGGCTATTGCAGAATAAGTTTGACTATTCTAGGGCAGGAAAAGGAGAGAAGAGATGACATTTGTATGAAATCATCCAAGATTCTCAATGTATGCTGGCCCCTGATGCTCTCCTAAATCTTACTGAGTGTGATCTCCATTTTGAGATCACATACTTCGTGGCCCATGCTTGACAGTCCTCATGCAGAGACGGACACAATGCGAAGAGGGGTATATTCACAAAGATAAGTTAATGATCCTATTTAAGCTATCATGATTCCTTTCAGAGTCCATAGCCCATGACTAACCAGATGAATATGAATGGATTTTTTAAAAAGTTCATTCTTTTTTTTTTTTTTTGAGAGATTTTCGCTATAGGGCCCGTGTGCTCGCCAGACAGAGAGAGTCATAGAGACAGAAAGTGAGAAATCACCCCCCAGGGGGGATGGTCACGCCGCCATCCCTTCTCCTCCATTCTCCTCTCGGGATCTTGGGCACGCACGCACGCACACGCGCCCGGTGTGAGTTTTAAGCCACCGGGTCTGGGACGTGAACCACAGTCGACTACGTGGGAGTCCAGCGACATAGCCATTACACTAACTGCTGGTTCCCTAAAAGTTCATTCATTTTTTTTTTTAAGAGATTTTTACTATAGGGCGTATGTACTCACCAGAGAGACAGAGAGACAGAAAGTGAGAAATCAACCCCAGGGCAGATGGTCACACCATTCATTCTCCTCTCGGGATTTAAGGCATGCATGCACACATGCCTAGTGTGAATTTCAAGCTGCCCAGTCTGAAAGTTGAACCACAGTCAACCATGTGGGAGTCCAGTACCTTAACCACTACACTGTCTGCTTGCCTCAAAACTGTTTATTCTTATACTTTCATTCCTATATGAATTTCACTATTGATGGTTTAGCAAATTTCTTGAAACAACTCTTAAATAATTTTAGTTATTTATAACAAGATTTTTGTTACATATCAGAATTTTTTCTGGTACTCCCCAAATTACTCTTACTCCTTTCTGCTTGAAAAATTTGATTTTTTTTCCCCACAGAATATATCACTATACATATTAATGACCCATAGTTATGTCTATCTTTAAATCTGTCATTTGACATAGGTTCTAATTTTCTCTTTATATCTCTTGTTAGTTTTCCCTCCTTCCTTATTCCTACTTCCTATACACACTGCCGTAAGTTAATCTCTCTGAGTATTCTTTTTTTACAGGCACACTAAACCTCTTTCAGGACTGATTCCTAATCACAATTTCAATGCCCAGGAGGTCAGAGAAGCTCTTACTCACCCTTCCTTACACACAAAAGACACTTTTGCTCCAAGCTGGAAATTAAGTGGCAATAACACATGGCCATTAGGGAGTTGGTCCAGAAAATTGTCACAGGATTTCACTAGAGGGGAAAAAAAGGAAGAAAAAAGTAACAGTGGCATGTGGAGAATAAGCACGTTAGCTAAAAACATCGGGTCAGATGAGAATCCAGGCACCTGCACATCTGGGGGCTGTGGGGCTCCAGGTACCCTGGGTCGTACAGCGCAGAGAGGCAGCCCCTCTGAGGTCATAGCCAGGCTCACAGCTGTAGGACACTTCCTCCCCGGGGGAAAACTCAGCCTTGTTGCTTAGAGTATGCTTGCCATGCAGGATTTCTGGAGGCATCTGGCACACTGGGAAAGAGAACCAAAGTATTGTTAATTGAGTGAAAATTACTTTTCCTCAGTGGTAAAGTGGCCAAGAGAATCATATTTTATCTCTGTGTTAAAAAGCTTGCTAGACTAATCATTTTATTTTACTGATGACAATATAAACACACATACACACAATTTTCATCGACAGCGTACACCTAAAATAACACAGCAGACAGTTCCTTCTAGAGCGTTTATAATTACTGCTTACCTGGTTTAAAAAATGTTAGTATTGATGGGTTTCTAGATCTTCATACTTCTTTTCTAGAAAGGCATGACCAGTTTATAGTTCTGGTAATAAGGAGTATTCACGCTCAAGCTTGTCTAACAGATTCCCCAAATCATCTATGACATTCAGGTATGACAAACAGGGGTCACACATCCATCCCAATCTCCTCTCAAGCTCTGTCTCAGTGGCCACCTGACATGGACTGGGGGAGAACAGAGGTGTCCTCTCCATACTCCTCACAGCAGGTGCTACTTAGCTCCCATGCAGTCCATTCCGATGAGAGGATGGGCAACCATTGAACAGGTCTTAAAATCCTACGGGAATCACAACGAGAGTGCGTACTGCATGCCGCTCACTGTAACTGGATCTCTGGCTGTATCGTCATACGGTTGGTTCGTACTCAGGGAATCAGAACCTATTTGGGTCTCAACTAAATCATCCAAAATTGTACAATAAAAAAATTATTTCAGTTTGGCTTTAAGTGGATCAGTTTCCCTCTCTGGACTTTAGTTTCCCAAGTATAAAAAAAATTAGACTAAAATAAATGGTTTTCCTTTATAAATACTTTATAAATACTCTGATGCTATAATGTCTGATTTTGAATTTGTTACCCTAACAGTTCCCTTGACTGATAAATGCAACGTGATGTGATATTTGAATATTGTACTGGTTAAATTTCGGTTGCTCCACAGCCTTACATTTTAACAGATCCCTTTGACCGCTAGGCACTAGAAGCCTGAAAACTGCAATTGCTTGACTTCCTGGCCAGCTGGGTTCTGTCAATTGCAGGCTTGTATAGCAAATTAAAAGTGGAAAGATGACCCATGCCATTCTAATTCTAGAGGTGGCTCAGAAAGTTGCAGCAACTGTGGACTTTTGGTTAGCAGCAGCATCCTCAGTTCTAAGGATGGCGTCTGTGACAGCAACACCAGCAAAACCTGGCAGCAGTGGTGTCTCCTGCAGCATTAGGCGCAGTCTAGGAGGTGACTACCTGGTGGCAGGGACTGGCCAGATTCACCGGGGGGGCACACC